CTCTTTTGCTTGCTGGGCCTGCCTGCAGCCATGGCCTTGTTGGGACTGGCTCCTGTGGCCTTGTCCCCGGCCCAACCAGGGCAGGTTTGGAAGATGGTGGAAAACTTCACTTTCTGGCCCCGAGCTTCAGCAGGGGACCCGCAGGTGGCCCCTACGCGGAGGTTGAGTTTGTCAATCCACCTGGAAAGTGTGAGGAAAGCAGGGAAAGGAGTGGGAAGGTGCCAAGGCAGAGGTGAAATTCTGTGACCTGGTGCGGGTTTGGGCCAGCTCCTGCTGTGCTGTAGCCCCTCACCGGCGCTGAGGGCATCAGTCCTGGGTCTGCAGCCCCGGGGCTGATGAAGAAGCCGGTGGCCCACACAGGGCATGGGGAGGTCTGCCCCGTGTGCAGACCACCGGCAGCCTCTCGTGGCTGGGCATTGCCCAGGGCGGGCACAGGGGCATGGAGCTGTTGTCTTTTTGAGCTGACACCTCCCATTTCAAACCACAGAGAGGTTTTGGTCAGCTGAGAGCCACGGCAGGCGTCTCTGGTCCAACCCCTGCTCAGAGCCAGAGGAGGTTGCTCAGGGCTTTGGCCAGGGGAGTTTTGAGTCTCTCCAAGCACAGAGATCCCACAACCGCTCTGAGCCACTGAGCCAGTGTCTGACCACCCCCCCAGGGAAAGTTTTTTCCTTATTTGTTATTTCATCATCCTTCCCTATTTCCCATGGGCCCTGCGGCCTCGCAGAGCTCACCTGTGCAGGGGAAGGAGCTGGCAGTCGCAGTGGAAAGGGACATCTCGCAGGTTGAGGATTTCCAGCCCCGTGAAGCTGCGCATGTCGGGGATATGACTCATTTTGTTGCTTTCCAGGTAGAGGCTTTTAATCTTGGGACCGAGGCCAGCGAAAGCACCTGAAGAAATCTGCAAGGAAGCAAGAACGAGTCAAAGCGAGTCCCTGTGGGAGCAAATCTGCACACACGCACCCGGTTAAGCCCTACAGCCTGGGGAGACTGTGAAAGCCTGTGCTGAGTCTGAGAGGATCCCATGAAAGAGTTGTTCTCAATAACAGTACATGGGCTTAAGATGCTGCAAGGAAGGGATGGTTTAATTAGCTTAATCAGCTCACATTTTATGAATCACTACAGTGAACCCTTGGTGATGTAAAAGGGACCTGATCCTTAAAGGGATGGTGGTAATATCAGTTTCTGGAGAAGAAAGAGACCGTCACAATAATGGCAGTGAAGAGTCCTGGAGAAGTGGTGACAAGAGGAGGAGACAAACGGCCAAGCAATTGGGAAGAGGAATTGTGGGAATAACCTCCTTTGAAATGGAGGAATGAAGTCCATTGAAATGAGCAGGCTCCTGTTTGTTTCCATTAAGGAACCATGGACAGAGGGGTGAGGGCCGAGCTGGAGGGGAAATGGAGGCCAAGCTGAGGGAAGCACCTCCTCTTAGCTGGACTGTGGAGCATCTTCCAAAAATGCACACCAGGAATTTGGGGATGCCCACAGGGCAGAAGCTCCTAGAGGGTCCTGGCCCCATGGGGAGGGATGACATGGGACCCCGTAGCAATCTCTAGGCACATCAGCGTTATGGGGCCAACCTGCCCCCTTTCTCTAGGGCATCCCCACTCTCATGCACACCCGCTCCAGGCCCATGTTGTCCAGGTAGAGGTGCAGGCAGGAAGGCGTTGGCCCCTATGGACTGGATGGGGTTCTTGGACAGCTTCAGCTCACTGAGGGCAGGCAGGCCCTGGAGAGACCCCGTGGGCACTTCTCTCAGGCGGTTTCCATCCAGGTGCAGCTTCTCCAGCATCCTGGCAGGGCTCAGGGCCGCCGGGGATATGTTACTGATGGCGTTTGCCGTCAGGTAGAGCCAGCGCAGCTTCTCCATCCCCTCCAGGTCACCCGCAGACAGCTGCCCAATGGCATTATGCTGCAGGTGCAGGGAGAAGAGGCTGGGGAGGAGCCTGAAGGCACCCTGGGGTACCCGTGTGAAGCTGTTGTGGTCCAGGTACAGGTAGGCAAGCTGGGGAGCACCGTCAAAGGCAGCGGCCTCCAAGGCAGAGAGGTTGTTGTCAGAGAGGTAGAGGTAGACCAACTTCTGCAGGCCCTGGAGCGCCCCGGGCTGCAACGAGGCGATTTTGCAGCTCTGCAGGTGGAGCGAGACGAGGCTCTTCAAGCCGGGGAAGGAGCCCCGCGGCACCGCTCGGAAGTGGTTTCGCCGCAGGTCGAGGAGCTGGGTCGTGCTGGGGAAGCCCCGCGGGATCTCCTGGAGGTTCCTGTTCTCGCAGCTGCCATGCTGGAAGTCCAGGGCGCAGGTGCAGCCCGCTGGGCACTTTCTGCTCACAGCCTCCTCCGGCCGCCTGGCAGGAGCCGTGGGGCTGGCAGGTGGGCAGGGCCC